TAGATGCTGCCATCTTTTGTTGGACATATTTTGAGATATTTGGTTGTTTGATGCTATTGCACTTATTTTCAAGTATTGGTTGCTGGTATATAGAAATACAGGTTTTTTTTATTGACCTTGTCCCCTGTGACTTTTTCAAATTCATTTATTAGTCCCAGAGGGTTTTTTGTAGATTCCATAGAGTTTTCATGGATATAATCATTTAATCTGTGAATAATGACAGTTTTACAGAAATCCCTGTGGCTTTTATTTTCTATTTCTTGCCTTATTGCACTATTTTATTAATAGGTGTGGAGGGAACAGTTGTCTTTGCCTTGTTCTTGATCTTATAGGAAAAGGATTTAATGTTTCATCATTAAACAATGAGCCTAGCTGTAGGTTTTCCATAGATGCCCTTTATCAAAATGAGGAAGGTCCTCTCTATTCCTAGTTTGCTGAGTTTTTTTCAGTAATGGGTGTAGAATTTTGTGAAATACTTTATCTGCATTTACTGACATGACAATATGTTTTTCCTTCTTTATTCTGTTAATATGGTGAATTACATTGATTAATTTTTCAGTGTTAAGCCAACCTTGCACTCATGGGATAAATCTAATTTGAGAATATGATTTATTACCTTTTTATGTATTTCTGGATTTGCTTTGCTAGTATTTTGTTAAGTATTCTTATGTCTACGTTCAAGAGGAATATTGCCTTATAATTCTCTTTTGTCTGGTTTTGGTACAGGCTTATACTCACCTCATAAAATGAGTTTGGAGGTTTTCCTTTATTGTCTGGCTTCAGAAAGAGTTTGTGTAGGATTGGTGTTATTTCTTCCTTAAATTTTTAATATAATTTATTGATGAAGCCATCTAGGGCTGGAGTGTTCTTTGGGACTCAATTTATTTACTAGATGTAGTACTGTTTGTCTGTTTTTCCTTGTGTCTGTTTTGGTAAGTTGTATATTTCAAAACAATTTGTCTATTTCATGGATGAAGTTGTTAATGTCCTTTTAATGCCAGCAGGGTCTGTATTGTAATGACTCCTTTTTCATTCCTTTTATTGATACTTCGTTGTGTTCTCTCTTTTTGTTTGTATTGACTAGGGATTACCAGTTTTATTAACCTTTCAAATAACCGACTTTAGATTTGGCTGATATTTCTCTATTTTTCCATTTTATTTAAATTTGATTTCCACTTTTATGATTTTTTTTTCCCTTTAGCTTACTTTGGGTTTAACTTGTTCTGTTTCTAGCTTCCTGAGAACAAAGCCTAGATCACCCACTTTATACCTTCTCTTGTAACAGAAGCACTAAAACTTATAAACTTTCCCTCTATGCACTGATGTGTTTTCAATATCATTCATATTAAAATATTTTGTTATTTCCTTTGTCATTTCTTCTTTGATCTCTACTTTACTTAGAAATATATTGATTAACTTCCACATATTTGGGGATTTTATAGATATCTTATTGTTGCCAATTTCTAATTTAGCATTATCTGATGAAAGCACATATGATTTCAGTGTATTGATATTTGTCAAAGTTTGTCTTATGGCCCAGCAGGTGGTCTGTCTTGGTGAACAGTGCCCTTGAGAGGAATGTGTGCTCTGCACGTGTCAACTTCTAGTGCTCTGTGAATATCATTTGGGTCCAGTTGGTTGACAGCTGTTCAGATCATATATACTTCATTGATTTTTGATAACTTGTTCTATCAGTTACTGAGAGAAGGATGTTAAAATAGCCAATGACTGTGGAATTGTTTAATCTCCCCTCTTATTTCTGTCAGTTTATATGCTGTGTGTTGTGAAGCAATACATTTAGATGTGTAATGCCTTCTTAATGAATTGATCATTTCAATATTATGAAATGTCTCTTTTTATCTGTATTACTGTTTGTCTTGAAGTCTACTTTGTCTTCCTTTAATGTAGCCACACTGGTTTTCTTATGTGTTGTGATTGCATAGTATATCTTTTTCTGTCCTGTTAATTTTAACCTGTGTGTATCTTTATTCTTTTTCCAAAAAAAACACACACACTTTAAGTCTTGCTTTTTATGCATTCTGATAATCTCTGCTTTTTACTTGGAATGCTTAGATAACTTATTGTTTATCTACCTTCACTTCTGCCATATACAATTTCATATGTAATGAGTTTTCATTATGACATTTTAAAAAATGTCAGTTTTATCTAAGGAATCAATTTATAGTACCATTTGTCTGATATTAAGTGTTGTGTTTAGGTACATGTCATGCAAAGTCACACTGTAGTTTCCTTAGATAAACCTAGAAAGTAGATTAATTTCTGATTTTTCTTGCTTTGCCCAAAAACATATTTTCAGATTCCAAAGTGTTTCTGAAAAGCTTCACATGGAATGCAAAGCTGAGATGGTGACACCTCTGGTGACGAACCCTGGACACGTGTGCATCACTGACACCAACCTGTATTTCCAGCCTCTCAATGGGTACCCGGTGCGTAGACCCCAGGGTGGGAGGAGCTGCCTCCGTCTGTAAGCCTCCCTGCTGGCATCTCTCTACTTTACAGCTTCTCTTGTAATCCTAATACACAGCCATCCGAGTCTGAGCTCCTCTCATCTATTTTCAGACATTTTGGGGCACTTGCTCTCAGTGTTGTGAAAAGGAGCCCTACCCCTCATGATTTTAGTAAAGGGGCACTAGAGATTTATACCTCTCTACTAGGAAACACTTCTGGAAGAAACCAATGAAATGTGCTATGATGAATAAGAAATGGGTGTTTTCTCTATATTTATTTATATATACACATAGGCTGGTATTTCTTGTTTCTTTTTAATTATAAACAAAATCAGTAGATCTGAATCTCTCTTGAAGAAGCACTGTGAACTTTCTCATCTGTTTCAGAGGTGTGTAGAGATGCTGTAATCTAGCAGTCTTGGGGCTCCTTCTGTGATCTGGGAAACAATCTTCTCTTTCACAATGGCATTAGACTTACTAGGCCAGAAAGTAAACAGAAACTCATATTTCTACACTAAAACTTGTAAAGATTTGTTGCTTATCTAGATCTGGTCCCTTTTTGGAGTGGTTCACGAAAAGAACAGAAATTCTAACACTCTAGTAATACAGTTTGGCCATTTGGCAGGTCAGCTTAAAGAATAAGGAGTGTTTTCTGCCTTGGAAAGCTACATTATGTGGCATTAAAGCATCTAATACTTTCCTGAGTGAAAGGTGATGCTATAACAATTCTGTCCACTAGGTGGTGGGGCACACGCGCCAAGTTTTCCAGCAGTTACAGCGCACATTGCTGGAATGACATTCTGTGGTACTAAACAAATGGCTTGGCTACTACCGTTACTATTGCTTGGGTCAACAATTTTATGAAAATGTCTGAATATGTGCCATAGCTTCCACATTATAAGCAATCATCACCTTCCAACCTCTGGGCCAGGATCCTTGACCAGTAGTTCCCAAGACCTGTCTTGGGATCTTCTGCCAGTTTCTACCTTGGTGCAGCCTCTCCTCTGCAGGCTCTTCCACCCTCTCAGCTGGGAGGAGGAATGTGGGAGCATTGCCTTTCAGCCACCGTCAGTGCCTCTTCTAACCTCCTTCCTCTCTTACTAGTGTTGTAAAGCTCCAGAGAAGCAATAAAATTTTCTAGCGGCCCTGCCTTATACTGTAGTAATTTGTGAGTTTTAATGCGCTGTGATTTTTAAGGGTACAAAAGACAGTATTCTTAAAAAAAGATGTATGTCAGTACTAAGCAAACCATCGGTCTATAAAAAAATAGCAAAATTCCTGAGAGGTTATCTGTACCAGTCCTTTAATATTCCTTATCA